GACGCGGTCGCTGGTGCACCCGCGTCTGCGGTCCTCCGACCGCTCTAATCAGGTCGAAGGATGACGACTGTGGATGGTGATTGACATAGAGCGATAGCAACTGACAGGGGTGATAAGGGACGCGGTCGACGTCGCCGTTGTCCAGAGTGGTAAAGCTTTTTCACTGGCGAATTATAAAAGTTCAGTCATAGGGACACTGATTACGGGTGACAAGTAATGATATCAGATGATAAGAGTAGATAGGATGCCATCTTCACAACATTTCTTACCACTTCTTACCACTATTAAAAGTTCAGGGTGGAACCGCTTCCCTTTAGTCATAGCGATACACACCATCAAGACCAACTATGAATTATCTGCTGTCAGATCATGTAGCGTGTCGAGTGGGAGAGAAGGGCGGAGAGAATTGTGCGTCTGATACGGGAAAATCAACAAAAACAATTTCCGGAAGTCTTCCTGTTGTGTGTTTCCAACGACGATGAATTAGAATGTAGGTAGCAGTCGAACTGAAAAATAAAATATGGAGGAGAATCGTTGTCGTTTGTGACATGCAGGTTCATGTGACGCGCACTATGTAAGAAAGGAGGCAAGGTGGAGTTCTGTTCTACAGCTCTGCCTTTCTTGGAGGCAACAGGGCGCTATATGTTACTCTGCTCATTCGGACTAACTCAGCTCTAACCAATTCTCACGAATGCGGTCATTGACTGAATGGTGCAGCCAGTCAAGAGTTGGCGAGAGGCACCATATTTCTGGTATGAGCGAACTCAATGTCTTCTACAGTCAGACGTCCAGCTGACGCCGAACGCTCGTCCTTCTACGTTACGTTCAGCTTCGCCGGGCCGGCCTGGCTTTGCCAAGCGTTCTTCCTCCAAATGAGCTAGAGTGCACAAATTGTGCCAAACTCACAGGGCACCTTTCAACAAAAATGTCGAAAAATAAGTTGAAAATAACTCCACATCAATCATCAGTTCTTCACACAGCTGATCCATTTTAGACTCCATATACGAAAAACTTTACGAGATCTGGGGCCCGTTTGAGGCTGACTTGTTTGCTAGTGCGGAGAACAAGAAATGTGAAACGTTTGTTTCCAGATGGTTCAGCGAAGGTTGCGCAGCCGTCGACGCGTTTAGCGATTCCGCAGAGAAATTCTGGTCCCGGTGTTCTTGCTGGTGGGTTCCTCCTCCATATTTACTTCCTCTTACAGTGCTGACTGCCAGAAGGTTACGAAGTAGGGGAGTTATTGGCTTTCCCGTATGGCCTTCGCATCTATCTTTTGCATCGTTCCGCTCTAGTTCGGGATGGATTTCGGAAATAAAAGATGTTTTTGTGGTTCCTAGAGGAGCCGTTCTTATAAAGGAAAACTCGCCTTCCTTCACTTTTTCCTCGCCCTCGGTCAGCTTTGACTTCATTTTCGCTAGGGTGGACTTTGGGGAACGTTTGTAACCCTCCAGCTTTAAATTTCCGACGAGTTAGCCAAGCAAAATATAGTTTTTGACGAGGGTAGGAGTCAAAAGCGTTGTTTTGCGAGGCTAACGAGTGTGCCCTAGAGTCACACGAGGGGCGTGTCAGGTCACGCTTGTCCCGGCAATGCGTGACCCGATATGGGCCATTCCGGTCTATTCCTGGTAACTGTGTGCCCTCCCGCCCGCCCTATTTAGCCCATGGTATACCTGTTGGATATGGGTCAGCGCTGTTTTGTTGGGGCCCCCTTAACACAAGATCTGTTCAGGTCCAAAATGGAAAGCCTGGTCGGAGACGATTCAATCTGCCAGAAACGCAGGAAGGGAGGAGTTGGCCCAAATAATAGGCACTTCGGCAAACAAATCTCTAGCGCCAGGAACAATTGCAGCCTACTCCTCTATGAGGAGACGTTTCGACGAGTTCACTACCACACTCGCCATTGAAAGGACGCACTTAGGAAAACTTCGGAACCTTTTCTTGGCCCATCTTATCAACCAGAACCAGCTCAAAATTCTCTCCACAGCGGTCGCCTCTCTGAATTTCTTCTATGGCCACTTGGAAGACGGAGAAGCGGAATTGCAGAAGCTTCTGATGGATTCGGCTAAGAAGGAGGCCCCCGCTGTGATGCACAAGGAGAAGGCCTCCGAAGAGGACGTCGATAAGATGGTCGAGTGGGCCCTGAATACAGCCAAAGCAACAGAAGACTGTTGCATTATTTTGCTTTCGTACTTAGCCTTCCTGCGGATAAGCGAAACGGCGGCGGTTCGTAAGGAGCACCTGCAGGCAAAAGGCGGCCGCATATTGCGTGCTGCTTCATTCCAATAATTCCAAACAGACCAGAGCAAAAGAGGTACGGAAGTGGCTTTCAAAGTGCAAGGAAGACGCGCAGTTCTTTGGAACAAGTTCGTCGCGCTGATAGCCGACAAATCCCCCCACCAATTCATTTTTTCACCAAAGTTTGCACATCAACCGTCCACCGATTCTCTCCGAAAACGTATAGACAATGTCCTCCAAGGAGCGGGGTTGCTTCATAAGGGCTTTACATCGCATTCCTTCCGAGGAGGTGCAGCAACAGCCGCTCTGAGAAGAGGAGTTAGCTGTGAGGACATAAGAAGAGTGGGACGTTGGAAGGCTTCGACCTCTATGCTGCACTACCTAGACCCAACACCCATATGATACAAAATCAGAAATGTAGTGCTTCTAGGACTAAAGTCAATTGTTGCTGCCTACCAATCACTAGGCTTATTTTACTCTGCATAATCTATATTGCTAGACGCATTAAAATAATTATGAGTTTTCAGTTCTCTCTGATATGTACAGGTACATGAACAAGGACGGACAAGTAAACAAGATGCTCTACCATTGTAACATTTGTTGAAAATGTCGTAAATGTAAATGTGCTAAATTCTAATCTACTTCTATGTTCCGTCCATTTCAGTAATATATTGATGTACATATATGTATTTTGCAAACGAAGGATTATTGATGATGGCATAATAACCAGGAATAAAGCCGTTCTCCCGACGAGGTAGCCAAGCAAAATATAGTTTTTGACGAGAGTAGGAGTCAAAAGTGAAATTTTGTGAAGCACTGGTTTTTATGAACAAAATATAGTACTAGATCCTAAGTCGACCCTATTTTCAGCTTCAAGTAGAAGCTTACAGTTGAAATTTGTACTTCTCTGGGCATTCCAGTAAAGGTGCAGAAATGAATAGAAGACGTTGTGCGGAAGGCACCAACATTCGTCCTCTAGTCTGGAAGACAAGAAGTTTCTCATTCAGATGCGGTCGCACTGTCGAAAACCTAGAAGATTCCCATTTGATCGAAAATGGCTGCAAAAATGCTTGAATTGGGACTCGATAGGTTGCATTCATGATTCTAGTCCGCGTTTTAGTCGAAAAGAAAAATGCAACCATTGATTGAGCACATTGAATTTTCTTAGTGGAACTCCGGCCTTTTGAGCGAAAGGATAGTGTAGTTATCGATCGAGACTCGAAAAGACGATTCGCTCAAAGCACTGTAAGGCCGCGTTCATACATGATGCAGAAATGCCGAACCACGGAATGTGCAGAACTGCGGAATTTGCAGACCTGCGGAATTGGGAGAACCGCGGAACTTGCAGAAAAAGAAAATATGTCTATCGATTTCAAAAACCGTGGAATATGCAGAAGTGCGGAATTTGCAGAAATGCCGATGGACCGATCGATCCCTATCACTTCTTTGTCCGTAATTTCTGCATTTCTGCAAATTCCGCGGAATTTGCCGAAGTGCGGAATCTGCAGAATCTGCGGATTCTGCATTTCTCCCAATTCCGCACGACGGCAGGAACGAACCGATCGATCCCTATTTCTTTTTCCGTCATTTCTGCATTTCTGCAAATTCCGCGGAATTTGCGCAATTGCCGTCATTTCCACAACGTCGTCATGTATGAACACGGCCTAACGATAGCATATATATACACCTTACCACTGCCGCCTAAACCTACACCCGGAAAAACGGCCGGACGAGTTTTACGGGCGCAAGTCGTCCACTTCGTTGTGGGACCACGCGTCCCTTTAACTTCATTTGAATTAGGATACTTCAATAAGAGCGGTTTTTTGTGAGATTACCGCTCTTGTGCGTAATCATAGTTAATAGGCGCAGTTTATCGACGGGGGGGGGCATTTTGCTTTCCATAGATGTGTCGACCCATCTAGGTAGCGTTTTCTCGAGTTGACACGTTTTGGGATGGTGGCTAGACGATCCTGCTCCAGCTTTACAAGAGTTCACAAGTTTTACCAAAGTGAGATTTGCAAACCGGAACAAGGGAAGCAGTGATAGTACGAAATGCCCCCCCCCCCCGTCGATAAACAGCGCCTAGTTAACATTTTCTAGATCAGCTTCTGCTTCGAAAAAGCTCATGAAATGGATACTGAACTGACCAGTGTTCGGCTTTGGTAGTGCCCATACTGCTTTTGGGCTTTGTGATTGGTCCGGAGCTTTCCGATGAGCAAGTGTGGCTCCATATTTGTATCCGGGGGCCGGCTCTCGTTCAACTGCCAGAAGGGGCCGTGCGAGATACAAGTAAGAGCGTTATTATGTTGTGGACTGCGTTACAATGGGCCTGTTATAAGCATGAATATCTGCCAATGATCCTGAAGGAGTAGTTCACGTTTTCACGCAGCTGTACCCTTCTCCATTACAGCTGCATTTAAAACATTTTGATTATATTTTGCTGGAATTCGTTTACCATTTCTGTGAAGAATTGCAGTGAATCTAGATCTAACAGAGACTAGTTGTTGTTCTCCTAAACCCAACAGTTCCTTCCCTCGAGAGCTCTCTAAAACTGAGCGAGTCAAAAGTGTCTCCAAACCACATGTCAAGTAGAAATTTTCGCGCGCCAGACATCTAACAAACAGCCCTTCTAACAGCGGTTTTCTAACAGCGGTTTTGTGCACAGAATACCGAAGATAGGATGTAGATATCTTCCTGCGTCGAAATCCAACGCTGAGTGGCAGAACTTTTAAAAATGGTGGCACCCCACGGGATATAACCCCTAAAACAAAAGATGCACTTGAAGTGTTCAAGTTTCCGGTTGCACCTCAGGTTTCATGTTTCCTAATCTAAGCAGAAGCAGATCTCGAAAATATTAACTGTGATTACGCACAAAAGCGATAATCTTGCAAAAAAAACGCTCTTATTGAAGTATCCTAATTCAAATGAAGTTAAAGGGACGCGTGGTCCCACAACGAAGTGGACGACTTGCGGACGTAAAACTCGTCCGGCCGTTTTTCCGGGTGTAGGTTTAGGCGGCAGTTACCTTACCCAAGTATTTTCGACGCTGTCAGCGTGAAATGCAGTGTCAAGGGTGGAGCACACTCATTTTACGCCAAAGACAGAACGTGATTTGTAAATAACGTCAATCCCGAGTTTGCGCTCTAATCGTCATTTGAAAGCGCGCATCACCAAATGGCAAAATGCCAGAAGCGCCGCGCGCGATGCGCGCCGCGCAGACATTGTGAGATTATGTGTATCCTGCCGCGAAAAAGATACGGTAGTTTCTCGAAAAGTTCCGGTCCTACACTTAGTGGCTTATCAGGGCACATCGTTGGTTGCTGGGGAATCCCCAACAGGGGGGGGGGTCGTATTTGGCCGCCAGGAGAGGGTCGTATTTGGGCTGAGAAAAATTTATTTTGATAGTTGATTTTTCTCGCTTCACGGACGTTGTAAAAGGGGGGGGGGGTCGTAGCAACCCTAGAAAAAGGGGAAAGGGGGAGGGGTCGTACGAACTCGACTAAAATCCCCAACTAAGGATGTGCCCTGATCGGGAACACACGCACACGTCGACCGCTAACTCATCTGCTCCCTCCTTGCCGAGAAGGTATCCCGCGTGTTTAGTTGGCTCTAGTAAGGGTTTTTTCAACGTAATTTAATTTCGAGTGCAGAACATGAAATTAACACTGTAACAGGTCCGTAGAGGGTGAGGTACTTACAGGGAGGTCGTTCGGCCGTGGTGAGCTTTTCTCAAAACGGTTTGTTGCATGTTGTAGGGGTCTATGCGAGGACCATAATCATTTTTGCTAAACGGTACTGGGAATGTCAAAAAAAGGTCAAAAATAATTCGAAAAGAATGGGCTTTTTAAACCACCTTATTCGCCTCTGTTCTAGCTGTAGCGTTGACAGGGTATAGTATGTAGGGTATCCTTTGAGCAGGCATGAAAAACAGCGCAAAATAAGGTCAAAATCCAAATGTTTACTTGGCATGTGGTGAGCTGCATTGGAGTTTTCCGGTCATCTGCGCATTTCTCTTCAACAGGTCCTGCATTTCCCATGTCGCAGTGGCAGATGGTGTGGTGGATAGCGTGACGGGCTCTCATTCGGTGGGTTTATGGATCGGATCCCCTTGGCGGTACATTTTTGCATTTTTCAGATTTCTTGCATCTTGTATTCCTGTATGCCCCATAATGTGTACAGCCCTCATCATTACGTACTGTCGGGGCGGTTCAGTGCGGCTGCGTTTGGCGCGGTGCCAAACCCGCTCTCCACCAGTATTTAAAGCGAGCAAATGATATGACTGTATTATATCCTCCGTATTACTCGTTTTCTACCACTTTTTTGTCGCATACGCCCGCTTGTGTTCAACAAAAGGGCTGCGGACGGCTTGCAACAGTTGTGACACACTCATTACTGCGCTTGACACGGCGATGCTATCTAAACGAAGCCTGACGAGGCTAATCCTCTTGAATGCGCCCAGCGGTCGTTAGCAGGGCACAGCCATTACGATCGCCGGGGCCATTTGTCGCGTTCAGGCCTGTACGACCCCCCCCTTTTTTCGGCGTACGACCCCCCCTTTTTTAGTGTTTGACGTCACATAATTCCTGAAATTAGATATAAACAATTAGATATAAAAAATAGATATAAACAGTCCTACCTAAATTGACTTGATTTACTTATGTACAAGCGTTTGTGATCAAAAACACGATGAGCAGCTAGCATACACACAGCATAAATGCGAGTTAAATGAGACTATGATTAAAACCAAAAAACAAAAGCGGTATAACAGAAAAAGAAAACAAAAAAGAAATACGCCTAAAATGCATTAACCCCGAGATGTGGAGTACGGTAGCCAGAGATGCGTACGTAATTGCAGCCGTGACTG